TTAAACATCGTTACCTCATCATTAAGCGGATTCATCGTGGAGCGGGGTAATCGTTAAGCACGGCACCACTGTATATATATTCACAGCTGCGAGATATGATGGCAACACTTGGCTTAACAGACTTCAAAATAAGGGGTAGAGGAAGTCATGCAGGCATTTCTCTCGGTCTCTCCACTTTCACAGGTGCACTTGATGGGGACACAAGAGAGAGCTTTCTCTGTCTCCCCTCCCGGGCTCTGGATCTCCCTCCCACAGGAGGCCAGGCTGGCCTCATCTTTGCTGATCTTTCCAGAAGCAGTGAAGCGTTTCTCTTCAGGCAGGCCTTCCATTAGTGACTGGCTTTTTAAATGGCTTGTTGTTCCTTGTTCCTTTTAAATTGATTTTATTTACTATTTTAATATAATGTTTGTTTAGTTCTTTTAATTTTTTATATTCTTCGTGTTTTAGCTTTTATCCTGTATGTTGTCTTTTAATGATGCAAGCCTCCTTGCGTCCTTTTAAAGGAGAAAGTTGGGGTAAAAATATTTTAAATAAAATAAAATAAAATAAGTAAACAACATACTAACATATCTTATCTAGAACAGCTGTTCTTCCTAGCTCTCCATACTGAGAGCTAGGAAAAATGAACAGAATAGATTGAATGCTGGTCACCCTGATATCATGATAGTCAAGGAAATCATTCTGGACTTCAGTTCAAAACCTCAAAGAAGCTATCCAGGATACCGAGCTTATTTTAGAGGTAGGGTTCAGCACCTTTAGTCAGCACCTTTGGACTGAAACCTTGGGTGAATTTGCTGCTCCCTCCCAAATCAAAATCTTCAGCTTCCACTGCAAGAATGTGTTGTTCTGACTTGCTTACAAGTGGCTTACACTACAAGCTGTTTGGCTACTGCTACAACTAGAATGGTTGACTGTATGGTCTAACCCAGTGTACCTCTTCCAAGGCTTTGAATCATTGACTAACCTAACTGCCCAGACCTTCTCTGAGGTTTCTCTGACACTGTTGATTTTGCTACAGTTTACTCAAAAGCTGAAAAGGTGACCCTCCATGACAAGCTGCAAAGAGGCTTAGGGGCGGCCTTGGGCAATCATATCAGCTGTACTTCAATTTAGTAATTTTATTGTCTCTCTGCTAAAATAGGTCATCATCAGAAAACCAATCCCCATCATTGCCTGCAGGGCCTTTAATGTTTGTATTTCTCCTTCCCTTCCCTTATTCCATCTCTCTATACAAAAAGGAAATAAAAGAGGATTCAGTCTGAAGAAAAAAAGATCAGATTAACAGCAATGAAATCACTATTCCTGTTTGTGCTATAAATGTGGAGAATGGGATTTGATACATTATTAGGCTATTTCTTGTGTCGTGTGGTGACAGTAAATGCTTGTTGGAAAATGACCAATTCTCAAATTAAAATAATACCATAGTTTTGTTCTGCTTCTCATGAAAATAGCTTTCTGTGTGCATGGTAAGGATTGGACGACTATATGCAGCTGCTGAAAGCATAGAAAACAATGTGCAACTCAGATGCGATGAATATATTTGGCAAACATGTTTAATATTACAGCTGAATATGCCAGAACTTAATCTCATTTGAAGGCCAAGTGTAACAGCTGAAAAGGAACATTATTACTAACATTATGATGGAGGGCCACAGATGGTTGTTATTCACATAAGGAAAATAAACGGCTCTCATTTCGGTAATGAATGGCAACATTGCAGCAGGAAATAGACCTCTAAAGGTTATGGTGACTTATAAATCTAAGTGGTCCAAACTCTGTTCTTAATTATTTCATATCTACCCATATAATGTAGGTTGTCTACAAATTGCCAGCTTCTGTGGCAAATTGCCTTGATGTCTGCATTTAGCTGAAGCTCTCAAAATAACATTACGATCTACAGCCTGAGATGTTTGTTTTCTCACAGCAAAGGGCATTAGTGTAGATGATTCATGCAGTGCTGAAATACGTACAAGACTATGAAGTAAAGAAATTGTTGCTTAGTGGTTGATGAAAGAAAGCTTGATTGTTCAGCTGGGCATAGGTATAATGTGGGGTCAAAAATATGAATGAGTAGAACAAGTTTAGCCATGCTCTTTCTGTTTTATTTTATCTTTCCTTTTCCATTTCTCATCCACCCTAAGATGTATGTCAACTTGTGTATCAGCATCTCCAAACGGTCGCAAAGAGTTCAGGGAGACTTCTGGTTATTAACAAGGTCACTTTTTCTTCTGTCAAAGTTTAAGCTTTTAAAAGGAATTATTGTCTTAAATGGCTTATGGCCTGAAACTAAAACAACCTCAGAGAGATGCTTTCCATTTTTGGTACCAGCATTTGATCAAATGCACCCATATTCAACATTTATCAGGCAATTCATTGTGAGCACTGCCATTTCTCTTCCCTCAAACTTACTCTATTGCTTTAAGTCAAGAGTAGCAGCGTTCATCTTTCCAACACATTTTATAACTGCGAACCAATTGTTCTCATAAACAAATGATGATCTATAATCAATTTATGATCTTTATTTATTAGATGCTTGGTTACTTGATATCTCTCGAGCCAGATGTATATGGAGGTGCTTGCTTAACGGGATTTCAGTGAGACTGAATACTATTTCTAGAATCTCAATGTATCCCCAGAGCTAATTGCTGTCTTGCTTTCATGTTGACTTTTTGCACTTATTATTTGTCTATTATCGTGAACAAAGCAGAAGTGTTGAGAGAGCTGAGATTAACAATCTCTTGTAATCTGATACTCCTGATAGGAAGGGATGACTTGCAAAAGTGGGGCAATGGGAGGCACATGGTCAACATGGCATGGGAACTGTTGTGGTCCAAAACTTGGCAGTCATAAATAGAGTGAGAATGATGGAAATGCTATGGTAATTTATAATGAACAGTGACTCAACATTCCAGAATAACAGATGCTAATGTGTTAATAATGACATTTCCAGAGTTTAGAAAAGGTATATATAGATTAAATATAAGTCATGTCCAAGTGTAGGAATTGGTGGCTAAAATGCTGAGATAATAGGCATATATCCAAACTCCCAGTGGGGAAAAGTAAGGCTTATTTGCTTTGGACCAATTCAGAAGTAGGGAGATGGGATTTGCAATGATCTTGACGATATGCTTGATAACAGTATGAGCTCTTGCTCCCAGTCTTTGGAAGAACATTGAGATCTTTTGTTGAGGTGGATTCTTAGAACCTCCACAAAATGCTAAGCTGTGGAAGAGAAACAAGCAACCCACAGAGTCAAAGGCTAAAGCTGGATAGATGTGCTCAGCTATTCACTGCACCATATTAAATTGCCACTGTGGTTTCTTCAGTTTTTGTTTCTAGGATCAGTAGAGAAAGCTCCTGCCTTTTTCTCAGAGGAAGGAAATATACCATAATCTTTCCACAGCTGTCTGACACATTCACCTGTGCTGTGATTAATTCATTCTGAATTAATTTCCTTGGAACTTTAAAAAACAGATAATGCACACATTAATATTTCAAGGGAAGAATGTGAAAGCAAATATTGTATGCAAGCATGATGTCAGAACCAATTAAGTGAAAAGCTTATGGGTGACATTAGGGCAAAAGAAACACAGGGAGCTTACTTATATCATTGGACCATCTATCCCATAGTTCTATTGAAATAAAAGGGAGTCATGTGGTCAATACAAAATGCAAATGCAATAGTAAGCAATACCTTTATAGACCACTAAAATCATCATACTATTTCCTAGCTTTTGTGGATCAGGACCATCCATTTCATCAGACATGTACCGGCATGAACTTAAAAGTGTTCATGGCAAGATGGATTTTGGAACTTTACATCCAAGAGTAACTTTCCTGGCAAAAGCCATCTTGCCACGAACTTTTGGACATTAAGTTCTTCACACTGGTACATGTCTGACAAAGTGGAGGGCCCTGATCCATGAAAGCTCACAGATTGTATGATCTTTTCAGTGGTATATAAAATTATTGCCTACTCTTGAATTTCTATAGCATAGTGTTGTCTCTACCCATGGTGAGGAACCTGTGGCCTGAATGAGGTCCATAGGGCTTCTCCCATCTCACCAACAAACTTTCTGTCTTCACCCTTCCCATCAGTTAAGCTTGAAAACAGTGGAAGGCTTTTTAAATTCTAATTCCAACATGGAATCAATTTTAGGATGGGGGGATACAGCTTTGCCAACCCATCCCGTGATTCTTCAAGTTGGAAAAAAAGTCTGTCTTTATTTCCACATCTGATTGCTGCATGTATGAGAAAGCAGGTGTGCCTGAATCCACAACAGATGATCTGTGATTACTTTTAGCAGCTCCTGTTCACATTGGAGTGACTGGGGAGCACACACTCACATGCTGCCTCATTCCAAATAAGCTGGAATTACCGTTCTTTATAGCTGCATATCATATTCACTGTCTTATACTGTAGGGAAGCATAAAACAAAGTTATCCAGCTGTTGACACACAACGAAGTATGGTGTCTTTGAATACTATATGCGTGCACTGATCCAATGGAGTACATATGCAGGATGCGGAAGGATGTGTTCATTTTGCTTGGCAAGTTAAGATGGAATAATGTTGGTTAGAAAAGAGCCAGGGAATGAATTTTGTGTTCACTCCTGTTCCTGAATAGCAACGAGTCATCTGTGGGATTTCCCATTTCTTCATCTTGTAATACAGTATGTGTGCACAACCTCAGCTGCTGGATTCAGCAGGGTGCGCTGTGTCCACTCAGAGATCTGCAGAACCTTTGATTGAAGCAAGAAGGTTTGCTTGGATTCTGTACCTGATTCCAGGAACCAACAAGTGAATACATCAACAGATAAATTATACCTACAAGCAAACAGTAACATTGAAATAAAATTTTTAAAAATCTGACACCAAACCCAAACCCAAGAGTCAAAAGCACAAAATGAATTTGGGTCACATCTCATGTTACAAAATGTTTTAAATTTATTTAATATCATGTTCTCCTACTCTGCAATTATACTGTATATTTTCTTTTAAAAAAAAAAGAACTGCGAACAGATTATTGCATAACATTTTTTTTCCAAATGAGCCCAGAAATATTTGCTAACTTCATATTCAGATACAATACCAAAGATGTATCAATACTGAACATTAGTTTTCAAGAGAGGTTTTATGATAGCGGATCTTCTGTGGAAAGCAGCACCCTTTTAGTTATCTTTGTTGTTATCAGACAGAACAACACTGGCAATAGAAACACAAGCTGGGGAACTTCTAGGAGTGTATTCTTGAAACGTGACTATTTGACCTGGACCTCAGTGTGTGTGGACTATTTTGCATAATTCTAGAGACCTTCTAGGACTTAGCTATTACAGAGTATTATAAATGTCACTGAGATACAGAGATGTGGCATTTAACATTGTATCTATGCTTATATAGATGCACTGATGTTATGGAATGGGCAACGCATACATGAAAAAATAATGATGAAAAAGAAAATATATTATGCACACAATGCAAAATACTGTATTTTAGTTCTGAGACAATTCAAGCATATACAGCATATACATAATAAAGCTTAAGGTTTCCCCCCTCCTTTTTGCATCATCTAAAAGAAGCAATCATGAAAACGCTGAATACTGCTGCATTTTCAACATCCACCTAGTGCATTCTGCTTTGTTCACCTTTGAAAGACATACACCACACACATACACACAAACGCGCACACACACACACACGCATACACACATAATGGATACATTATCTGCCGTAATTTACAATATATATTTGAACTTTACAAAAATACAGAAAAGAAAGGAAATTCCTTGCACTCAGATACTGAGCATTAACCCTTTGAGTACTAATTCCCACCTGCAAACACTGCAGAACACATTCATCTGACACTCATGGTTATGCCATTCCAACCATTACAATAATCATTTGTTATGTACACTATAAGGAAATAGCTTCTTACATATCATTAAATGGAGGGATTCATAACATGCTGAGAAGAAACACATAATGACTCTATAAAGATTTCAATCAAAAAAACACAAGCAAACAAACACAACCCCCTACAAAGTAATGCGCTTCCCCCAGGGAACTGCCTCCATCAGCTTTCCCCAGACTGGCCCCACCCCACCCCAGATGTGTCAGATTATAACGCACACTCTGCCAGCTACTGGCTGCGGATGACAGGCGCTATAGTCAGACAAGTCTAGGCACTAAGTTGGGAAAAACTGGCCTAAATTGCAAGTAACACAAAAATTGCAAGTACTAGAGTAGGCCTGTTGAGTCAGTGGAGATTTGGTGAGTCAATTCCTCTGTAATTTCCATTGGCCTACTGCCATTGTGATTTACTAATGGGTTTCAGCCATTGACTGTTTGAGCTTGTGCGATATGTTCACAAATTTGTTCTTAATAACTATATAACATTGTGCTTGTTCTTCTTTAGTTGCAGAAATACTGTTTCCCCCCTCTCTTTTTCACTGTAGATATCTCTCCCCCTTGTGTTTTGGCTGTATGGCCCAATTCACATTACATCATTACGTTATACCCCAAAACCTTTTAGTATTTTTGAAGTATTATTGTAATTCTGTTTTTCACTGTGAGTTGGTGCTTTGTGTCCAGATGTTTATGGATATCTATAAAAAAATCTTTTAGCCCAAAGCCTCATGATGTTGCTGACCCTAAATTGTCCTGGAGCTGTGCAGAATAAATCAGTGAAAAGTCCCAGCTGTTGAAGGTCAAATTTGCATGGAAGCAGAAAGAAAACTCCAGAGTGGCTTTGGTGAATGATTGGAAGGCAGGGGAGAGAAGGGCATTTCACCTAAAATATGGAATAAATAAATAAATAAATATATTTTAAAGACTATATTCCTTTACAGTGCAGTCCTATTCATGTGGAAATGAGGCCCTTTGGGTCTTATTCCCTAGCAAGACTGTTTAGAATGAAAGCCTTAAAGTGATGTAGCATTTCCCTAGCTGATTACTAGGACCACATTGGTATTATTATCACTATATCCAACATTACTACATGAAGAACTACTCATCCCCCGCAGCTCTAAGCTAGACTGAGGGATCACTCCAGTCAAAGTTAAGCTTTTTCAAGTCCCCCAGTCTTCAGTAAGGAAGGCAAGAATTAGATACACAGCTTAATAATTTCTCTCCAAAACCACTGGGGCTTGAAATGGCTTAATTTGAGCTTGGTTGTGCTCAAAGCAATTTGCTAACAAAACAATTGTAGTCCTCAAAGAGTTAATGATAAAACTGTACTTCTTTTTGTCGTTGTTGTTCTTTTAAAGATGATGGCAGGACAGCTTGCAGATTGGTTCCAAAAGGCATACTTACAAAGGAGTGGAACTCATGGAGACAAGCTGTGATTACACTGCACAGCGCCACATACAATGAATAGTGCATGCTCTGTAGAGACATTAGAGTGGACCCTTACTAAAGCTATCATATAACCTTGTACAAAGGATTGTGCCACTTAAACTAGTGCAGTAGTGGGGTTTTTTTTCCTTTTTTCATAAATTCAAAATGCTTTAGGTTAATACCAGCATGAATAGTCACAGCCTTTTACAGTAGCGCTTTTTTTTTCATCTTACACATGTAACACTAGAAAATAGCAAATGGTATTATCCTGATGGGTGTCATGCAAACATAGAAGAAAAAAGAAAAATAACCAATACAGCACCATAGATGTTAACAAGGGACATTATCTAGTATTTCTCTCTGACAGAAAGAGACATAACGGCGACTGTACACTATATGATTTTACAGGCCATATGCTACAGAAGGTCTTTAGAGGCAGTATCACTTTTGTAGGTCTGAAAAGCTGTATTAAGTCTGTTTATGAAACCCTCCTTCTGCTACTAGAACATGAAAAAACAATGGAACACCACCACACTTGTAAAAACCAAAGAAAGGCTGTGATGCTATTATGTGTCAAGAACTATCTGATGTTAATGCAGAAGCTTGGAAAATAGTGTGTTGAAACAAAAGTATATTGCCTCATATTCTGCTTCCAAGGTTTACTTTTCCATTCCTCACCCCTAGCCATGTTCCATAAATTTTTTAAAAAAATATTTTTGAGACCGCCTATGCTTTTTTTTTTTTTAAAAAGCCTCTTATTAAGAAAGCAATTGGTTCAAAACCTGTACAATTTACCGATGTGCTACATGAACATGTAGAATCTTAATAAGGGAAACTAAAAATCAATGGCGCAGTCCTATGCGTGCCTACTCACAAGTAAGCCCCACTGAATTCTAGTGGGTGTACTCTCAGGTAAAGGGTGTATAGGCTTGCAGTCTTAAGATGGATCTGAAATGGAACAGGAGAAGTGCAGCCTACCAACTACACAGTAGTCTCATTCTTCCAAGGGCCCGTTTTGATGTTCCCCGTACTATCTGAACTGTAGATCATGGCTTCATGCAGATTGCCCTTTAGAATCCCATTGTGGCTGGTTGTGCTAAAGGGTAGGGACTGTGTCCGCGGATGCATCTCAAAATGAGCTGCATGGTGCACTGTCTCGCTTTCTGGTACTTTAGCACAACTGTAGATTACAGTACTTGCATCACTGCTTTCTGGCTGACTGATGGTCGGATAGGGATCGCTTTTTGCACAACATGGCCGCCGGTGGACCGACTGACTGTCGTGTGTACTGTGTGGGCTGTCTGTGTGGGAGCTGTGGATGCTGCCATCAATACTGGAAGGAATATGGTAGGCATACTCTCTTTCTCCCGCAGACCGGTGTCGGCTGAAGTATCGGGGCTTAGTTCTGCTTTTCAGACATCTGTGAATGTGCATGTTAGGCCTGAAAGCCCCCTCATCGTGTACATGAATATGAGCTTCGTCTTCCAGGAGCTGATCGCAGTGCATTTTTGCACAGCACGGTGTGACTGGGGAAAGGCAGTTGACATGGTTTTGAACAGCCTGAAGATTTGTCAGTTTGCAGTGACTAGCAGCTGGGTGGTTATAAACAGCCGATTTACTCGGACAGGGTGATTCCTGAAGACATGGGGCATGGAGCTGGCTCTCCCCGTTGACATTCACCTTTGGCCGGACATTAACTTGTACTGAGTACGTGTTTCTTCTAGATGGGCAGCAGGACCACCAGCAATGCCACACATCATCTCGCTTTGCACAGTGATGGATGAGGATAAAGAGCCCCAAGGTCACACAAAAGGCTCCGTAGAGGCAGCTGAAGATCATATCCAAGAAATGTCCCTGGGAAACAGCAAGTGCACCAAAGGTCCAAGTGGCAGCAAAAAGGAACAAAGTGAATGCAGCAGCTCGAAGCTGAGCCTTAAAGGAGTGTTCATTTTCCAACAGGGAAGAAGAGATCATTGAGCATGTAGCCTGGGAGATGGATCCAGTGTCTGTAATGTGGCTATGGCCAACCTCGGGACTTGCCAGCCTCTGCTGATCTTCTGTCCTTTCCTTCAGTTCATATTTGCGTTCTGGATGGCGCCTCAGTTGCACATACGTGCAGAGGAAATAAACACAGGTGACCAAGACAATAAATGCCACTGGTCCATAAAATGCCCCGAGACTTGGCTCCCACGCCATCCAACAGCTGCAAATAAGAAAGAAACAAACCCAGCAGCTTTAAACAAAATGAAATTAAGCAAGTGATACTGAACTGCAGTTCTGTGATACTAAAACCCAATACAGCAGTATAAGAATTTGTGCAATATAGGCCAACATTCTGTTGCATAATTCACACCAGTATAAGGGTGATGCTGTTAGCTTTAATATTGTCTTTTAAGGATGTAATCTGCCTCTTTATACTCATTGTTTTCAGCTTTAAATATTGTCTTTCGAGGATGTAAGCTGCCTTGAGTCCTTTGTAAGGAGAAAGGCAGGGTACAAATATTTTAAATAAGATAAAATAAATAAATTGCTAGCAATGGGAGGTTGCCAGTAATTAAAGTTTTTGTTTGATCCGGGGACATGCATTATGTGTCCATTATCAGTCTCACTGCGTACAAATAGGATGGAAGCAGGAATTCTATCGGCATATTCACCCTGCTAGTTGCCATTACTAGTTGCAGCAGGCTGCCCTTAATTAAACAGTTCCTGTTTCAATGCTGGAGCTTGCACAACTCATATACAATGAGACTGATTTTGTCATGCAAGCCCTCGGGTCAAAGCAGGAACTCTTTAATTAGCGGTAATTTCCCCTTGCTGATGATGTCATCATCCTTCTGCCATTCTGATTTGTGCAACAGTATTTTGCCCACATTATCCTAAATTGTTTAGAATGTATGATAGCTTTTCATTTTTGTTCTTCCCGTAACATATGAAACCCGTAACAGCTGTAGTACTTGCAAGATGAGCAGTACAAGCTTTGGCTGAACAGAAAACTGCTAATAAACATGTCTGGCAGGGTACCAAGCAGCACAACCTAATAGCCGCCTAGAGTGGTCGAAATGACTAGATAGGCGGGGTATAAATACAATAAATAAATAAATAAATAGATAGATAGATAGATAGATAGATAGATAGATAGATAGATGGATAGATAGATAGATAGATAGATAGATAGATAGATAGATAGATAGATAGATAGATAGATAGATAGATAGATAGATAGATAGATAGATAGATAGATAGATAGATAGATAGATAAAAATATTTATGAAATGTATTAATGCAGTTCTTAATAAATATGTTATACCTGTTACCTTCACAGAGGATTGCTCTTATGTAAATCTGCATTACAGCTTACACAATATACTAAACATAGAAGAATAAAAGAATTAAGGCCCCTGTTGTCTGCAATGGTCTCAAGTGTATGTTTGGTACTAGAGGGGTTCCCTTGCCTACAAGGAGTACAGACATTTGACAAGCAGGCTGGGAAATGAGCCTCTGACAATGGCTGAGAGGGGCATTGGCAAAATCCTTTGTGTAGAGAATAAAAGGCATAATATTTGGAAGTAAATCATCCCAAGTAAAGAAGTCACCGTAGAAATTATCAGCTGCACCCTGAGTCACACAACACCTCAGAGTACAAAAATGTCTACGGTGATTTGTTAACTTAAGACAGTTTGCCTCCAAACATTTATGCCATTTACAGTATATCACAGAAGTGAGTACATCCCTTCACATTTTATACATATTTTAGTATATGTTTTCATGTGACAACACTGAAGAAATGACACTTGGCTACAATGTAAAGCAGTAAGTATACAGCTTGTGTAACAGTGTAAATGTGCTGTCAACAAAAGTGAGTACACCCCTAAGTGACAATGGCCAAATCGGACTCAAATAGCCATTTTCCCTCCCTGGTGTTATGAGACCAGTTAGTGTCGCAAGTCTCAGGTGTGAAGGGGGAGCAGGTGTTATCGCTCTCACTCTTTTAGGCTGGTCACTGGAAGTTCCTCATGGCACCTCATAGTAATGAACTATCTGAGGATCTGAAAAAATGAATTGTTGCTCTACATAAAGATGGCCTGGGCTATAAGATTGCCAAAACCCTGAAACTGAGCTGCAGCAGGGTGGTCAAGACAATACAGTAGTTTAATAGGACAGGTTCCACTCAGAATAGGCCTCGCCATGGTCGACCAAAGAAGTTGAATGCCCATGCTCAGCGTCATATCCAGAGGCTGGCTTTGGGAAATAGATGTATGAGTGCTGCTAGCATTGCTGCAGAGGTTGAAGGGGTCGGGGGGGTCAGCCTGTCAGTACTCAGACCATACGCTGAACACTGCATCAAATTGGTCTCCAAGGCTGTTGTCCAAGAAGAAAGCCTCTTCTAAAGAGGATGCACAAGAAAGCCCGCATACGGTTTGGTGCAGACAAGCAAACTAAGGACATGGATTTCTGGAACCATGGCCTGTGGTTTGGTGAGACCAAGATAAACTTATTTGGTTCAGATTGTGTCAACCAGGTGAGGAGTACAGAGACAAGCGTGTTGTGCATGGTGGTGGGAGTGTCATGGTCTGGGGCTGCATGAATGCTTCTGGCACTGGGGAGCTTCAGTTCATTGAGGGAACCATGAATGCCAACATGTACTGTGATATATTGAAGCAGAGCATGATCCCCTCCCTTCAGAGACTGGGCCGCAAGGCAGTATTCCAACATGATAACGACCCCAAACACACCTCCAAAATGACCACTGCATTGCTAAAGAAGCTGAGGGTCAAAGGTGATGGACTTGCCAAGCATGTCTCCAGACCTAAACCCTATTGAGCATCTGTGGGGCATCCTGAAATGGAAGGTGGAGGTGCGAAAGATCTCTAGCATCTACCAGCTCTGTGATGTTGTCCTGGAGGAGTGGAAGAGGACTCCAGTGGCAACCTGTGAAGCTCTGGTGAACTCTATGCCCAAGAGGGTTAAGGCAGTGCTGGGAAATAATGGTGGCCACACCAAATATTGACACTTTTTGCCCAATTTGGACATTGTCACTTGGGGTGTACTCACTTTTGTTGCCAGCGGTTTAGACATTAATGGCTGTGTGTTGTGTTATTTTGACAGGACAGCACATTTACACTGTTATACAAGCTGTATACTCACTGCTTTACATTGTAGCCAAGAGTCATTTCTTCAGTGTTGTCACATGAAAAGATATTCTAAAATATTTATGAAATGTGAGGGGGAGTACTCACTTCTGTGATATACTGTATGTTATGCCAGCCTAACTAGGCAAGAGGATTTGCACCAGTAAGTTCAACCTCAATGCTGGGGGGGGGGCTGATTTGTGAAAGACCCAACATTTTTTTAAGCTTATCTGCACCACACAGCTGTATCAGTTGGAGATTACATTTTGGAGTTTGCAATTTAGTGATGTAATTAGAATTCTCTGCTGTAATTCACTAGTGTGGACTAGAGCTCAACTATATGATGTGCCCTAACTAGATGAATTATGTCATCTGGTGTCTTAATTCTTTAGAATGTACAGTTCTTTTACATTTATCCCAGTATGGTGATGATATTATGATCAGAGTGTCAGACAGGGATGTGGGAGATGGGGGTTCAAATCCCACTGAGCCATGACAATCAACTTCAGCCAGTCATGCTTTTTAAACCTGACCTACTGTCACATGGGTTGTAAAGATAAAGTTGTGAGGAGGAGGACCATGTACTCTTAACCCAAGCACACTGAAGACAAGGTGGGATATACATAAATGTGAAAGTGAGGTTTAATACTTGCTCTAATGTAACAAGCAACCAGCCAACCATTTTATTATTAAAAGAATCAGGTCTGGCCTCATTACAAAAACAGCCTTTTGCAGTAGCACTAGTTTCTAGGAATTACAGTGAAGTAATAGATACTCTGACAATGACCTCTGGAATCTTGTGTAGGGCCACAGAGGATGCTGGTGTAAAGCAAAGCAAAGTGTGCCCGCTAATATACTGCCCCATAGTGCTTAAAGCTCTCTGGGTACTCAATTTACTGATCTTGGAAGGCTGCAAGGCGGAGTCAACCTCGAACCAGTTACATGAGTCCAGGACTGAACTCAGGTCATGAGGAGTCTTCACTGCAGCATTGCAGTTTAACCACTATGGTTTAAACACTGAAGTTCAACCACTTTTCAGATCACCAAGTGCAGCCATTTGCAGGCAATGTATCTTTGATCAGTCTTGAAAACTGCATGCATTTTTATTCTTGCCTGTCTTCTGCCTCAGGTGCATCATGTTACCCAGATGTTTTTACTATGTATCTCAAACACTTGAAAGGTTAACAGCTTCATCACAGTATGCACCCTCCCCCAAAAAGTTTCCTGATCTGCAGAATTTATGCCAAGCAAAAATGGAGCAATCCCCAGTGGAACAGTCTATCTCTTAGGATGCTGTTATTTTCCAAGTGAAGCCTAATCATGGGCCACTTCAAAAAATCAGCTCTGTAAAGAACACGCTGAAGTCAGTGCATCTACATTTTTATGTAGTATCATTATTAAAAATGAATAAGGCACACAACCCACAGTGCTGTTGCTCCGTTTGTAGCGCTCTCTCTCTCTCTCTCTCTCTCTAAAGCAATTTTATCACTCCACCTGCTTCCCTAGTTTTCTTCTCACATTGTGATATCTGGTATTGATTGCCTGTGATTAAGATGATTAAACTAAAGGAGTGTAACCTCTGCAACAGTGCCAAAGGGAAACTCTCTCACAAATTTATGAACATAAATAATCAGATCTTTTAATACCCTGCTGATTAGAAGTGATTGCCTAATCACACATGTTGGAATAAATACGTTTTTAATATGACAGAATTTCCAGACTAGCCCCCGTCTTGTTTAGCTAAATGTGCCACAGCTCTCGACTCACTGGATGCCTGCTTCTAAAAAGGAATTTATTGAAAGTGTCTTCATTCAGCCAAACATAATTTGCCTTTCTTTCTCCTCTTGTTACAAATATAAATAGAAAAACAACACACATACAAGTACAAATAACACTGGATGCAGCAGGCTATTCTTAAAGGGGGTTTCCCCTAAAATCATAGCATGAACTAGAATAGGTGTTATTTAATTGTACTTATTAATTTTATACCCTGCTTTTCCTCCAGTGAGCTGTAGGTGGTGCACATTATCTCTCTCACCACGTTATCTTCGCAACCCTTTGATGGAGGTCAAGCTAAAAGGGAGTGACAGGCCCTGAGTCAACCCCATTGACTTTTATATCTCAGAAGGGATTGGGAACAAAGTCCCAGTCTAACACGCTAACCATGACTCCACACTGGCCCTCACACTGCCCTTCACAGCATCATTAGTACTCCACTGAGCAGGAAAGGGCATCCTGATGTAGCAGTTCCTCTTGAAGGCAAGTGCTCTGTCTTTTGTGTTGCCTTAAAAAAAACACACAACCCTTTGTGGCTGGTGGGGGAGGGAACACATGACCATCAGCCTGAGAGGCGTCCGTCCGTATGGCCTAAAGCAGCGCTGCCCTAACGGCTTAGTGTTCTGTCATCTACCCTGGGTTGCAGAGGCAGTTCAAGATCAGAAGTAGAAGAGGAATTTCTACTGAGCAAAGTTTAAATTGGCCTGCTCCTTATTTTGCATTTCCAAGGAAACTGAGCAGGAACTCTTTGTCATGTGAAGGGTCATGGAGCTTGTGCTTGAGCAACGTGGGGCATCTAAAACAAAAAGAAGAAAACTGAAGACTTTTAAAAAGTGTACATAACGTTTGGAGTGTAACGTAGTATGTATTAAGTCACAGTCCTTCAAGTGCACAGTCTGGTGCTTATGCTGTTGATACATCCTGGATAGGTTACAATGGGAGAGCTAATTTGAATGTTACTGGTTACAGCACTGAACTTGGGTGATGGGAATCTAGTTTTAAAGGCCTGCTTGGCTAGGAGGTTCTCTATGTGGCTGTGGGCAGTGTCGCGTAGCCTCACATGGTTGCTGGAAAGGCTATGATACTATTTTGAATTACTTGGAGGAAGGCAAGATTTGAAAGAAGGCTCTTTTTCTCTCTCTTGTCTGAGGAAAATGGCAAATTAGCCTTTAATTCAAATGGATTAGATGGCATTTACTATCAGATGAAGCATACTCTGGACCAGAAAAGTTTGTAAGCCAAGATATGTGTTAGTCCTTAAAGTGCTTTAAGACTATGTGTTGCTTTTACATAATAACTGGGATCTTGTTGGGTAACTATGTGGGTGGTAAATGGAAATGACATCAGTCCATGATGTTACTCTTCAGTGTAATGTAACTGAAAACTTCCTATCCCTCCAATCAGATTCCGAGGGATTTCTTATGAGCTTGGGAAACCTTTTGGAAACCTCAGGATGTAGAGTGGGGAGGAGCCTTTATTATCATAAAATCACAGCCAGATCACAGCTGCTCAGATTGGGACCACCAGGGGGTGATGTGGTGGCCATTTCTCGATAATAAATGCTCCCCATCTCCATTCCCCATCCCCATTCTCAAAAGGGATCCCTAGGGAGCCTCAGAACCTGATATGGGGTAGGTGTAAGAGGTTTTCAATCCAATTCAAGAGTAAAACCAAAGGCTAATTAAATCGTTGCCATTTATACCCACATAGTTGTACCAATTGGATTTCAGCCATTAAGTGATAAAAGCAAAAGGACTCTATACACATGGGGGCTTACAATGTATCCTAATCTCTCACACCTTTGTAACACTGTTCAGGTTTCATGGGGCAGTGGGGAGTTCCAAGACTATAGATCTATGTATTTGAGGGGCACGCACAGTTTTGGAAAAATGGGTTTTTTGGTTTTTGGTTTTCTCACTTTGTTACTGTATTTCTGTCTCACCAAGGAATCCATGCACAAATATGCAAGTACTTCCTCTTTCCTTCTTCCCAAAATATCTCTAAATAAGAGTGAGGGTGGTAGTTAACCTCTAGCACCCTTTCCCCCAGCCCTCATGTACTGAATGGGGACATTCACAATTGCACCCCATCTTACCTCAAGGAGAGAGGACATCAGGGCCATGGAAGGTGCACTGGCTCAAATGTCTGGTGGTGGGAGCCTGGCCGAATTTGCGGAAGCTAAGATAGCCCAGCTGTGCTCGAAGCCTCATAGACTCTGCTGAGACCATGGGGCTCTGCCAGCCTATTTCAAGGCCTGCTGGATGTGCACTTTTCTTCAGCCACAGCCACCATCACCCACACTCTCTCGGTTCATTTGAGGCTCCCCTCGCATAGCTCAACACACTCTGAGGAGCCACCAAGGAATTTTTTCATGTCATCAAGAAATATTTTTGCATGGAGGCTTTCAGGGCCATTTCCTACCACTGTTGCTGTTGTTGTTGTTTTGGTCTAAAAATGGCTGTGTTTATAACTTAACTGTGTTTCAGTCTTAGCTGTACTTCATCCTGGCCTGATTAGCTATTAATATTTGACAGCATCAAGGGTGCTGAGCATGAACCCAAGGAGATGTGTCTGCTGTACCAAATCACAGCATACCAGGTCTTTCTTCCCTTCCACTGCTGTATACGATAGCTGTGTTTGTCTTTTTAGCACTTATGATGTATTTGACGTATTGGTGACCATCTCCCTTCAGCTCACTCATAGTCATTCAGCTCTTCCTTCTGCCTCCAGTAAATGGTTCAGTGCTTGAGTAGGCCACTTCTCTCTCACCCACTGCTTTCCACTCTTCATCCTCCCCAGCTCTACTTACACCCTGATATTTTATGTATCAGCTGTGCTCTGTCTTTCATTTCTCTCCCTGGGTGTCACGGCCCTAAGTACCTTTTTAGCTTCAAAACCTCAGGTACTTGCTGTGTTTTCCCTTATTAATTTCCCTTTTCTTTAATTTGTAAAAGGATATACTGTATTTCTGCATATCTAGGATACCTCCCAAATATATAGAAATGGCTGCCTTCTTGTTGAGTGCCTCTGTTTGCTTTCCAAATGGTAGTCAACTGCTCAAGTTTCCTGTTTAGAGGGAACAAGGATCACATCTTATAAATGGAAAGCATGCTGATAGACTTACAATTGGGCTCCAGCGTAGCTTTTTATCCCATAATTATTAATGTTGGTTGCTGCTGTAATTCCACAGATAATAAAGGGAACTCCTCCACTAATCAAATAAAACCTGTTAAAAGACAATAGTGACAGGTGAAGTTGCTTAGCTTCAGATAAACAATATTCTTCATTTTTTTAAAAAAAAGGAAAATTGCATTTGAAGGGGGAAAAAAATCAATCTGAAGTGGGCTGTAGTCCATACAAGCTTATGCCAAAGAAAACATGGTTAGTCTTGAAAGCACCATCAAACTTGTTGCTGTTGTTAATTTTCACAAAAATGGTATGCCATGCTTGAAATAGATTTTATGAATGCCCATTGCAGTCATTAACTTTAAATGCCCATTTCAATCAGAAATAAAAGAACATGATGTAATGCCAAGAACATAAATAGTTGCTGAGGGCAACAGAAACATCAGCAACATGTTACTGTCTTTGGAAAGTGGACTCTTCCGCTCTTTCATGAATTTCTGATTGATATCTTCCCTCTCCATTCTTGGAACTACTATGTGCAGTGTGAAGCACCATTATGATCCAAATGCAAGAGAGCTGAAAAGGCAGAGATAAAGCCTGCCCCACCCTCAACTATCCAAACCCCAAGGATATGCCTCAAATAAGGCACCAAGTATAAATACTCAAATGGTAGTATGTAACTAATTCAAAGGATTGATTGATTGATTGATTGATTGATTGATTGATTGATTGATTAACTGATATACTGCCCATCTAGCAAATTACTACTCTGGGTGATGTGCAACAGAGAAAATAAAGAAACATACAATAAAACTACTGTGAAACAGTCAACTATCACAAATAAACAGGACAAGACTAGCAACTAATAACTGGATTATAATTTTGGGGAATCCAACACCATGCAAACTTTCATACCAGTAGAGTTGCTCCATGATCTGGCATACCAGATGCTCACTACGTAATCACACTCCTCAAGGGAACACATTCTCAAAAAGGTGCTCAGTCACATTATTCCCCACATGCATATAATCACACTCCTGGGAGCAGTATGACTTTCTGCCTCCAGGAAATAGGACTTTGCTCTCACACCACAAACCACTCTTCCATTGATATAGGGAGAGGGCACTTCGTTTTGACTGGTAGACACTCAAGTAACCCTCCATGTTGTATGTACGCACCTGCAGGACTACAGATCTTGGTAGATTAGCAAGGGGGGAAATTCAGAAACGGTAAGACGGTGCCTTTAGATTCATGGGGATTGAGATGACATCAGTATTCACAGAATATGCAGAGAATACTGCACAGCAGTGTGAATGACTGAGCACTGCCCACAGGAAAGAAGCCACTGGAGAGTAACAGTGAGCATATGGGAAACCTCTTCTGCTGCAGTTCCATTCTCTTGCTGTCAACCAGGACCCTTTTCTTTAGAAAACAGATGCAGAGACAGAGGCAGTTTGGATATACACTGGCTGACAGATTGCTTTCAGAGCAGTGGACAGAGAACTGCTGCTCAAGAGAGGGCTTCAGTCACCCATGTAAGAAACAGTGAATTTCACACGTGTTTCATTATTCATTCTCACTGCTGCTTGAAGATACAATACAGAGTTATCTCGGTGTAGACCCTGCAGGTAGAATGGATGAGGTAGGAAGAAGGAACAAAAGGAGACACATGAAGAGAGAAAGACCAAAAGTAGAAAGTTGATTTTGGAGAAAGACTGTGGACAAGGGGACCTCATATGTTTTGGGTTTCTAGGGGGCTATTATGAATGAAATGCCAAGATGAGCACAGGCTGGAGATTCCTTGACACTGGTGCACTGTACTTCCTACAAAAAGCCACTTGAGCTATCTCTGTGTTAGATGTGTCTTGGGGAGTGGGAAGATGGAGGAGGCTCATAACAACGAAGCATTACTACCCATGGGCTCAGGTTGATTGAGGGACAGAGAGGACTTGTCTTGAAGAAATGATTCAGTAGATGTGATGGGTCAAACTGACAGCCTGCAACCAATGATGAGGACACAGGTTTTAGTAGGTGTCACATAGACGGGTCACAAGAGGTTCAGTACTGATGGAGCAGGAGCCATGTGGGGTCTGGTGGAGATCATGGAAGAGAGGTGGAGGAGAGTCCTATAGTCCAAGCCAACTCGCAGTTTTCTCATATGCCAAGCCCAAGTGCACTGAGTGTCCTCCCCAGAAGAATTCAGCTTAACATGTTCATGGACAATGGTGCTCACGGCTTAGTAACTTAAGATAGCAAATAATGTGAGTTAGGCAGCAAAACTTTAATATCTATAAATGTGCAGGTTAGAACTGTTCCATGCCAGGTCATTCAAAACCTTTTATGTTTAAATAAATATTAACTATTATTTGCCTATATAATTGCAAAAGTGTCTTAAATATCAAATATATTCTGAGACATAAGAGAAATGTTATGAATAGCTAAAATTTTAAATTATTAGTCACAACACAATATCATTTTCATATGAAAGGCTCTGGCCAACCAAAGCATGAAGCTAATCTCATTTTCTCAGCCAGAATTGCCACATTAGAAACACTATTACTTAGCCTAGTAAAGAAAAAGAAAACTGAAATAAAACACAAGAAATTCTTTCTATCACACGAAGTCATTCTTCTTTCAGTCTTGGTTTGGCAGCATTTCCCTAGACGCTAGTTCGATAACTTAAATCTGGCAGGCAACTAAAACTGGCAGAAAAATCACCAAGCACTGGGCTTAAAGCTCTATAAATACACAGAATACAAGGGCTAGAGGCACCTCCCACTTCCCAGTTAAGTAATTATTTTGTTTGCTACAGAGTTAAAGGGCAAACTATTTGACATAATCTTGTCATGGCACATATTAGAACCTGGGATCATGACACTTCAGCTGCCCCTAGTTCAAATAGTCTTGAACTTTCCTTTGTGGTCACGAGTCCATGTGGTTCATAGTAAGTCAAAGGCTCATAAACAGTGACTTGCTTGGGCTGGTGTTGTTGAGCCTGAGAGTCCCGCAATACCAACAGTCCCGAAAGTCTCTGAGGCTGTGAGGGGGTGGTATCGGAATGGCCGGTGTCCTCAGTGTGGTGGCGTTTAGCTCTCTTCTTCCGTAAAGGCACTGGATCAGCAGGAACAGATGCTGATTCAGACTCACACCCGGACACAGAGCAACCCAGGGATTTGGGGCTTGAACAGGCCGAATAAGGCAGTGCAGTTATCTCAGCTGAGGTGTCCGCCCAGGAGTGAAATTGAGCCAACAAAGGAAAAGGTGGTTGTCTGGATGAAGGCGGAATCGTTTCATGGTCAGTATCAAGATTGATAGGTGGTTGATCCTGCCTGGGGAATGTGTTGTACTGATGGCTGCGTGTTGATAGAAGACTTCTTAGGTTTCTTTGGCTTGGTACTGACTTGCTTCAGAGTGGATTTTGGTGTCTGGGTCAATTGAGATGCTGATCCCGAGGACTTAGGCTTAGCCATTTTGGGCTTAGATTTAGGTGCTGGCAATGGAGACTTGGCAGCAGACGAGACTGGTGGTAGTTGTGAACCCTGTGCCTCATCTATCTTGGATGAGGGAAGAAGAAATTGCTCCCACAAAAAAGATTTGAGGCATTGTTGGTGGAGTTTGATGGCTTGTTTAGTGAAATTTTTACAATTGGAGCAGGAGGCTGATTGATGCAATTATCCCAGACAAAATAGGCAAGAACCATGGCTGTCAGACACACGTGCACGATGTGCACCTCTTAAATGGCCCTGTGGGGACCATAAATGGAGGGAAGGGAAAGGGAGGGGGGCAGGGGAATGGTAGAAGGAAAAAAAATTGAAATCTCACAAAAGAAGAATGAAGAGAGTCTATTCTAAATAACGACGATACGATTATAATTATGTTTCCACAGGAAAAGAACCAGATTGCATGAACAGAGAGCTCAACCGAAGATGAGACCTCAGTGGCGGCAAAAACAAACTGAGGTAATCGCCAGGACGGGTGGACCACATGTGTTAAGGGGGTGGGTAGGTTCTGGCAAATACATGTTTGAGATCTAGAATATTCCAGAGACCTCTGCACAGGCACAGATTAAACCCATTAGTGTGCATTCACTGAAGAAGAAAGTGAAGGGTATGATAGCACACATTTAACTAGTTAAATATCGCTTGCTTAATTCTAGAAATTATACTCAAGAGTTTGGAATGTATATTAATAACTGTCATAATTAAGCAACGAGTCATTGCCACAGTCTGTCATCAAGTGAGATCTGTTTCCTACGAAGTGTAATTTTATAAAAAACAGCCTTCCTAGTCTAATCCCAAATTCAACACAGTATGAACAATACAGCTGAGGAATATTTTCTATCTGAATGCTCTGGATCCATTGCTACGCTGGAAGTCCCAAGCGAATGTAATAAAAAGCAGTTTTTATCTGCCTTTTCTGGCAAGAAGCCTATGATATTTTCATTCAGACACAGAACTGGCGATTATTCTTTTCTCATGTTTTATTTAAAATGTATTCTACAACATTTTACTATCACTTTCCAATGTAATGTTTCTAAAAGTACTTCTTAATGATGATATATCAAATACTGTTGATGCTCCCCTGGAAAATAATTGTGACATGGGGGGGGGAGAACCAGAGCTTAACATCCCCCCCCCACCTATTACAGTTCCCACAAACCCGTCAGCATGGCCAACAAGCTGGCTGCTTGACCTTGTCAGTTGATATCTTAAAAAAAGAACTGCCCTGAATCCTGTGGAAAACAGGGTGGTAGAGGTAGACACTCTTCAAAGTTTTCTTTACTGTTTTTTCAAAAACTTTTTTTGTGTAGTTATGGGATCATGATGTCTGCTGCAACTGAACAACTGCTGTAGTTCATGTCATATTAGAAGAACAGTGGCATTCATTGAACATTACCTCTTCAGATGTAGAAGCATGTTTGCTGAAATCAGTAGCAAGTCAGAATGAGAGCTGGCCCATTGAATCAATGGAACTCACAGAGGAGCTGAATCACCAGATCCCCATTGATTCAGTGGACCAGCTCTGTTTACAACTTATTACTGGATTTCAGCTTCTGAGAGCAATCTAAGAAAAGCAATGAGCTATATGGATACAATCTGA